CAAATTTGATTTTAATTTTCAATCCTAGTTCACCTCAAATACTACCCATTATAAATATAAAACCCATGAAATGTCTAAAGGCCTGTTGAATCATTATTTTATTATAGAGGTCATATTATTCAAGATCTAAAACACCGTTCATTGATCTCTTGATTAAATCACATTATCAATTGTCCATATATCCATCTCAAACATTGTTCCAGCATTGGTTGAGCTTTGAATTAAGTCAAGAGAACATACTTTGAAGATCCAAAACATATTCCAGTATATCTTGCCTCAATCTACAGATCAAACACACAAAAAAGATCATTTGATCAAACGCCAAACAAAGCCCTACCTTCTCCAATAAGCTTTCAGAGTTCCAAAGTTTAAGAAGAGGCACTTGGAGTTCTAGTAATGCCGAATGAGGTTCCAATGAAGAACAAGATTCGTTCTTGGAGATCTAGTGGAGAGAAGATCCCAGAGTTTCAAGAAGTGCGAACGTGCACAACTAAAGAAATTCCTTGGTGATTTACAAGTTAGTTGGTCAGAGTTGGCTAAAGTTTAGTGGTGTCTGAACTAATTGTAAGTTAATTTATTTAGTTGATCGTTTTAGCAAGATTTGCCCGGAGTGTTTTTTATTCCTGTGAAGAGTTTTTCAAGTAGTTTTCATCCATCATTAATTCTTGGTGTTCTTTACTTTAGTTTTATTCCTTTTGACTTGATTGTTTAGATTGCTTGATTGACACATATGTTTAATTGGATTAAATTAAACTTAATCATCTAAATATATTAATAAGTGACTTGTTGCTTGTTATTGTTTTAATTGTGCATTTGGGTCTAAACTATTCGACCAAATTCCCTTTAGAGGCACATGTCACTTTTTTTTTTTTTTTTGTGGAAGAGCTAAGATATCACTCTTAAAAAGTATTGTCACCTTTTCATCAAACCATGTCATTTTTAAATACAACTAGTACTATAAAAATTACTAGTATTGCAGTTAGTCACTATGTAAGGTGTTAGAGAGAGTAGCTCTCAACTTTAGTGAGAGAAACACTCACTTTAGTCCCCTTAGCTCGATTTTGTTCAATTTTACCATCGTCACTTGGTAATTTAGAATCTAGCATTGCAGATTTTGTAAAATCTGCTCAGGTTCAAAATGCTTTCTTTGAAGATTTCTAGTGTCTTGGAGGTTTGAAGACCGGCCAGAATGGTTAAGCATTGGCCTTGAAAGTTTCAAAATTTTCATCTCCTCTTGAAGATTTGAAAACTGCAGTAGGTCATATGCATTGTTTATGCAGTCTGTTTGCAAAGTTTTGACCAGATTCTTGGTGCTCCTCTTGGAATATTTAAAGCCTCTTTGAAGTTTTGAAGACTATCCAGCAGGGTATTAGCTTTACTCAGCCAGTTTTCTTGGGTATTTTGAAGCTTAATGGCCGAACCCAGCTTCTTGACAAATTCGTTTTGCTTGAAGATTTGGGATTGTTCTTGAACATTGTTGGCTATAAAAGTGCAAACCGCAAGTGCACGGGTCGCGTTCAAATAATAAAGTGGACATTTTGAGTCCGGGTCGTCAATTCCTTGATGAATGTTTACTTTTGATTACATAGTTTTAGTCAATTTAATTTTAACAATAAAAACAAACACACAATAAAATTTGATTTTGAAAAATAAGGAAAATTACTTTAAAATATACAAAATAAGAAAATATATACATTTGAGAATTTTGAAGGAAAAACGTGGTTGGGATTCATGGTTTTGCTTAACCGTCGCCTAATTAATTTGTCCACAACCCAATTAATAAATTATTCATTCACGATATTAGATTCGATTTTCCAAATTTAACTAATTGCCTCTCTCGAGCAAAATTAACCATAATTGATTGGTTTAACTACTATATTTCTATGTCGATTAAAACCAAACAACCGCATTAAATCTTTGTGAAAATAGCTCAATGGGTCACGTAGCGTTAGGAGTATATTTTTATCCCCTACACAAACCTAACATTTATACTATTTGGTCTAAAATGAATAATCTTTTCTCGAACGATGTATAAATCACTAA